GCTGGGGCCGGAACCTCGTCATCAACGTCAACCTGAGGCTCCGCTACAGGTGCTGCTGCCTTGGGCTGAGCTCTGCCCCTGCCTCGACCTCTAGCACGGCCTCGGCCTCGCCCTCTGCCCCTCGTGGGAGTTGCTGCTGGGGGCTCGGGCTGCTGATCCGTAGATGAGGAAGCGCGTTTCTCTCCATCTACGAAAGAACAGAGTAGAAATTCAATTAGCATTGAGAAACCAAACCGCACGACAAGAAAGAACAAATGTGAAGTTTTTCCTAACTCTGTAGCTTCTGGGGGATAAATACAGACGTCTCCGTACCGATCCCTCAGACTCTACTAAGCTTGTTCGTGAATTGTGAGACCTATGTAACCTTGAGCTCTGATACCAACTTGTCACAACCCGGATTTCCCACCCTCGGGAGTCGTGATGGCGCCTACTCATAGAAGCTAGGCAAGCCATGAAATTTAGAAATCTTTAACGTTTTCATTTTTAATACTTTTAGTTACTTGTAGTAATAGGTGATAAGCAGTAAAATAATAGCGGAAGACGAAAATTAATCGGCAGACGTAGACAAATATAATACAAAAATCGATACGAATAGCCAACATATGTCTCTACCCAGAAACCGGTGTCACAACATTCACGGACTGTCTATGATTACTACATGCAAATCTCTGAAAGAAAGAAACTCAGTCTATCTCGGATACAAGTGATTACAGAACATAAAGTAGATAGAAGAGACGCCGAGCCAGCGGACGCATGCAAGACTACCTCGGGATCTCTGTGGACTGAAGGCTCGCTCCCAAACTACTGTTCCAATGCTGCTCCGGTATCTGCACAGAGTGCAGAGTGTAGCATCAGCACAACCGACCCCATGTGTTGGTAAGTGCCTGGCCTAACCCCGGCAAGGTAGTGACGAGGCTAGGACCAGACTCCAGATAAACCTGTGCAGTTATATATATATATACAGCGAAAAAATAAAATAGAATAAACAATTAAAGCTGGGAAAGGGAAACATGCTTCGGGGAATAACAGATAAAACAGAAACTCAAGAGAATTATCAGGAAACCAAAATTCAACTTCTAACAAGGATAAGGAAAACAAAGGTAGATTTCACTCTCGGTTCATATCTTGTTGCAGGCGTGCAACCCGATCCCATTTTTCATATCTTGTGGTAGGCGTACCACCCGCTCCCATTTCATTATATCTTGTGGTAGGCGTACCACCCGCTCCCAGTTCATTATATCTTGTGGTTGGCGTACCACCCGCTCCCATTCCATTAAATCTCGTGGTAGGCATACTACCCGCTCCCACATCATTAAATCTTGTGGTAGGCGTACTATCCGCTCCCATTTACAAGCCAACACAAAATCACAAGGAATCCCGGAAAGGGAACAAAAGCAATATAATAACTTCCCGGCAAGGGAACAACAATATCAAGACAAACATCCCGGCAAGGGAGAATCAGCTATAACCAATCCTAACTCAACTCCTACTCACCTCAATTAGTACCAATACTCAATCATAAATAAAATCCAAGAAAATAAACTAAATCTTTGCTCAATATCGAGAATCATCAATTAAAGTATCCGTAGTATTCGATCCCCCATTCACCCAAGAGCCCAAATATATAATTAGTTTTGAAATCTGACCCCAAGACGAGGTCAAATTCCTAAATAATCAAAAAAGCACTAACTCTACCCAAATCCCCAATTTCTGCCTTTAATCCCATGTTTTAGGCCTAGAAATCTAGTGGGTGTTGATAAAAATAGAAGAAAACAAGTTAAAGATTACTTACCCAAGAGATTATGGTGAGGAAATGCTTCAAAAATCGCCTAGGAGCTTTGGACAAGAAGAGGTTTGTGAAAATTTATGAAAACCCCGTAAGTGTTCTGTTTTTGAGACTTAAAAATAACTGGGCGAAATTACCCTTCGCGTTCGCGACAGGCTCATCGCGTTCGCGATGAGTCAGGCCTGAAGACATTCGCGTTCGCGACATTGGGCTCGCGTTCGCGGAGCTTTAACCCCTCGAGCCCTCGCATTCGCGGGACAGTGGTCGCGTTCGCGTAGAATAAATGAGAACTCCCTCCCCAGGACCATTGCCTTACGCGTTCGCGAGTACCTGGACGCGTTCGCGAAGGGTACTCCCCCCTCAGCCTCGCATTCGCGTCTCAGGTTTTGCGTTCTCGAAGAAGAAAACTGGCACTTGGGATTTTTGCCTTACTCGTTCGCGAGTGGGACCACGCGAACGCGAAGAACAAGTTCCCTGTGCACTGAACAGCAAAATCTGTAACATTTCTTAAGTTCAAAAACCTTCCGAAACACTCCCGAGCCCTCGAGGCTCCTAACCAAACATACACACTAACTCAATGACATCATACGAACTTATCCGTGCGATCAAATCGTAAAATAACCTCAATAACAACAAATTAAACCTCAAAATCAAAGAATTTTTCTCAAACTTCATAAAACATCAACTTTTGCAATTTAGGTCCGAATCACGTCAAATGACATTCGTTTTTCACCAATTTCTACAGAAACGTCTTAAATCATATATAAGACTTGTACCGGGCGCCGGAACCAAAATACGAGCCCGATACCATCATGTTCTAATCAAATTTTATTTCAAAATACTTTAAACAATTTCAGAAAACAATTTTCTTTAAAAATTTATTTCTCGGGCTTGGACCTCGGAATTCGATTCCGGGCATACGCCTAAGTCTCGTATTTTCTTACGGACCCTCCGGGACCGTCAATTCACGTGTCCGGGTCCGTTTACCCAAAACGTTGACCGAAGTCAAAGTAATTCATTTATTAGCCAAATTTTATCATTTTTCACAGATTTTCATTTTTAAGCTTTCTGGCTACGCGCCCGGACTGCGCATGCAAATCGAGGTGACTCTAAATGAGGTTTTCAAGGCCTCGGAAACACAGAATTTAATTTAATAGCAAGTGATGACCTTTTGGATCATCACACTGATGCATTTAATGAATTTTACAAGGCCTGATATAGCCTATGCAGTGTGTAGACTGAGTAGATATACTCATAATCCCAATAGAGAGCATTGGTCTACATTAGCTAGACTAATAAAATATTTGAGAGGAACCATGAATTATGGTATCCTATATAGTGGATTTCCTTCTACTTTAGAATGGTACAGTGATGCAAACTGGATCTCTGATTCAGACAAAATCCACTAGTGGTTATGTATTCACCCTTGGTGGTGGTGCAATATCGTGGAAATCAGCTAAACAGATGATCATTGCTAGATCGACTATGGAATCAGAGTTTGTAGCTCTGGAGTTAGCTGGTTCTGAGGCTGAGTGGCTAAGAAACTTCTTAGCTAATATCCCTTTTATAAAGGACGTATTGCCTCCTGTGTCTATGCATTGTATTGTCAAGCGGCAATAGCTATTGCAAAGAATAAATCTTATAATTGTAAAAGTAGACACATGAAATTGAGACATAATGTCATAAAACAGTTGTTGAGAGATGGAATAATTTCCATTAATTATGTGAAGTTAGAGATAAATTTGGCCGATCCTCTGACTAAACCCGTGGGAAGAAAATTAATTCTTTAAACCTCAAAAGAGATGGGGTTAAGGCCGACATATTGTCAATAGAGATGGTAACCCAACCTATGTGATTGGAGATCCCATGAAGTAGGTTCATATGGATAATAACAAGTCAATATTGGCTCTGATGCACTAAGAGAGAGTGCTTGACTGCTACTAATTGAGAGGCTGAGTTATAACTCTTAATGAAATTCATAGTCCTTATGAATGGTGTATTTAAAAGCAGTATACACTTGATGAATTCACCTATATGAGAGTGGAGTGGGCTGCTCCTATGAGATTTTGGCCTACTCTATAGAGCTCTCATGACTAACCAGGCACGCGCATGGCCTATTGGGCGCAAAACCGCACTGAACAACAAAATTACCGGGGGTCAAAATATGATTGATAAAATCTCTGGCTTATGATAAGAATTATTGGTTCATAAAAATATTACATTTCACCAGTAGTTCTGTGAGTTAAATTTTATTGGTATAAGTTTGGTTCATAGTCTAGAAGACACCAAACCAATTACATTTGGACCATACAAATTCAACAAGTTTATTTTTGGGTCTTTAAAATAGTGGGGGACTGTGGTTATATTTTAAAGGTTTTGGACAAGTGTCTTAGCCATTCTAGAAGGCTATGTTAAGTGGCAAAAGAAGTGTAAAAAGTGGCAAATTTGATCAGCCGCTTTCTTGCCATGCACAACAAAGTTACATGCAATTACAATTATAAATAGCCATCATTTGACTGCACAATTCATCCACCATCAGAAATACTTTTCTATCGAGCCTTCTTCTCTTTCTCTCTTAGCTTCTCTTATTTTCAATTTTTCTTATACATTTTCTTTGTCCTATTCTCTTTTCAATCTTGTTGGATTATTGTAATATAAATATTTTGCTGATTCCTGTATCCTCTAAATAAAATAGAGGTAAGCTTGTTTAATCGTGGAGAAATATTTTACACGGCTGAAATAGTTTCTTAGGACAGTGCCTAGCACGACTCAAGCTATTTTGTGTATCTACTTACAAAGAATATTAAAACAGTGTTATTGAAATTCTTGCTCTCAATTACTATAATCATCCCTCAATTTTTTGGTTGTTTTACAGTTGAAACTTTGGCACAAAGCTTCTCAATGCTTTTACTGAAATCTTCGAAAATTTTCTATTGTTGAACCAAAGGAAAAGAAGTTGAATTCTATGTATTTACGATTAAAGTTTTCTCAAATGTTTTACTCCCTCCGGTCCACAATAAGTGATTTTTTGACCTTTTTTTGTGGTCCAAAATAAGTGATTTTCCGTATTTCAAGAATAAATTAATTATTTTTTTCTACTTTCCCTTGGAGTAAATAGTGTTGGAATATGTGTTAGGAGTATTTATATGGACCAGAGGTAGTACTAATTTCAAAATTGAAAAAGAATAAGGAAAGCAATAACCAATTAGAGTGGTCAGGTCCAAAGATATTTATAAAAATACTAGATGACTCTTGCCCGCGCTTGCGGGCCCAACGATTTTGATTCTAATGCAGCTTTACTTTACATTACAACTAAGAAACAAGAATACTTCATGAGATGTACAGTTATTATTCCCTATGCCAAAAGAACACAAACAAAATTAGACATAAAAATCCCACGATGGCAAATATGCACATCGGCTGATATCTCCAAATTGTGAAAAAGTCACCTTCAATCTTATGGTATCTTGAAACTTCACTCAAACATGGGTGTGTTAGCCATGAACTTAATTAAAGAAAAAAGTTGCCTTCAATCACCTCCTGTGCAATTGTATGTTGTAGCTAAGGCAATATATTTCACTCTATAAACTTCCAGGGTCCCCTTTTTCCACTTCTACGTCTATACCTGCTGAAATTAACTCCCTTCTCTTTCTATTGATGCGACTTGTGGGTAGGAAATCAAGTACTAACATTTTAACCATGCATAATTACAACTTATGCCTGCACCCTTGACTCAACATGTATGTATTGCAAACTGACAAGATCTTCATGATATATCTCCTCTCTCTACGGTCAAGAAGAAACATAATGATAATACTTGCTTCATTTAGATCCCTGAACAAGTTCCACCAAGGTAATTGTGAACCTGGCAATTTTGAAAGATTGGAACTTCAAGAGAAGGGGATTATGTAGGATATTTTACATTTACAGGAAACTTTTGTCCTAAAAAATGATTCAAAATTACTTAGCAGAAAGATATACTCTTTACATCAAAGCAATATACACAAGTAGAACCTGAGCACCACGCAGTGTTCCAGGCCTTGCTCGCCTAGTTCCCTTTTGCCTTAACGGTTTTCTACCAGTCTTAATAACTTCACTAATGATTTTGGTTGAATGGGTTCCCTGCAACATTCATCAAGAGTAGGCCAACAACACCATTTGAATCCTCTACTGCCTTGGCAAGTAACTATAATTTACAAAGCTTGTAGAATCAGGGAAACAAGCATAAAGGTAGTGAACAGGTAGGAGAATGGAGAATAGGAGGCCCTGATTGATTTAACTGATCCGCCTTAGATCATTGTTTGTCTGCAACAATTTTCTTTAGCAAGGCGATTTTTCCCCCAAAGGCATATGAGTTTCTGTGATCTTCATATGCCTCAAAATGATCATCCCGATTCCTCTTTTTTCCCCAGTAAGTCTCTTTGTTTCCCAGAGAAGCAATTGACAGCAAGATGAGGAATGGAAAATGATAAATGACTCTTAGGAACGGGAAACACAGAGTAAAACAGGTTCTTGCTCGCCAATATGTATGCTCTATAATCGAAAATTTGGGATTCAAAAGAATCGTGCACATACCTGCTGTCATTTTGCTAGCTGCCATCTCACAACACGATGAATAATATCCTTCCTAATTGGCACATCAAAAACATCCCCATCCAAACACATAAAACCCTTGTCTTCATTATGAGAATTCGTTACTAGAATGTCCAGGTCCTGATGGAGCCCTGCCATATACAGTAATCAAAATGATAGTCACACGAAATCAGATGATATAGATTCATCCACTGGAGTAATTTTTCAGTATAAATGAGGCAGGTAATTATATGGGGCAAACATCATAACAACTCTACTTTGTACTATCAATATGAGGCAATCATCCTTAAAAAGGGGAACATATGATGATCTAGGAAGTGTTCCCTCATAGGTGAAATGTAAGGCAAACAACAAACAGTTTCAATTATTACTTCTAAAGCTAAAGGGGAATAAAATAGCAGATTGTACTTAAACCAACAACGTGGTGATCAAGGAAAAAATATTTCCATAAGGCATGATAGATAGCTATATTTTCATTATATTCCTACAGCTTCTAAGTTAGTCATGGGAATATGAGAACTATAATTTCATTAATCGATACTCAACAATCTTTTTGTGCCAAATAGCTTACCTCAACATGCTTGGTATTGCGGATAGTAGTTGTTATTTTTGTGGCAAATACTTAAAAGTACACAAGCCTCATTCTCCAGAAAGCTAAGGAGTAAAAGAGAAACTTCCCCCAAAAAAAATGCAGTCGATGCCAAAGATACTTGTTCTGCAAGATGTGATATCCAATAACGTACTACTTTACGCTATTCTTTATAAACTGAGGGGGATCGCTAAAAAAATACTGGTAGGTCCTACACAATACGAGTATCTATAGAATCTTCTTTGAATTCTAACTTACATGATATACATAAACATGCCATTTCATTTTAAAATATTGTTGGTAGAGAATCTCCCAACCTCCAATATAACCAAAACAGAAAAAGGTGACTCATCCAAATGAAATGAAAGTCTTTGATGATCCTCTATGACTAAAAGATCATGTTTGGTTATCATTCTTCACAAACATGTCCAAACTATTTCAGAAACTTCTTTTACATTATATGTAAAAGCATCAGAATCTTAAAGGCATATAAAGTTTAACTGAGGGCTTCAAAAAGTAAAAGACATGACAAACAACTTACCGAAAAGGGTGAATCTTTAGAATGAAATTCCACCGTATATTTTGGTTCTTTAGAGCTTAGGCATAAGGTTTCACCTGATATAAGCGGCAAGAATCAAGAAGGGGATAAGAAACCCGCTAGTAACAATAAGTAATCCCTGAGGAAATACTTCAAAAATAGATTATTACAAAATAATAAGACAAAAGGAAAGAGATACCAAAGCAATTCAAGAACCTCACTTTGATAATTTAGATGCAATTAAAGAGCTGTCAAAGTGTTAAGGAGAAACCAATTCGATAAACCCCTCTCATCCCTGCAAATTTCTGGAACAGATGAAAAAATACACACAAACAAAAATTTTGAAAATAAATATAATTCAAAAGCTCCTAGAGAAAAAGAAAATCATAATTAAACTCCAAAAGACAATTGCAAGATAAAATTCTCATACATACAGAAGCAAATAAATAGATATTCAAAATGAAAATAAGGGAAATAGAAGTAGGCACATGAGTTTTAAGCTGACACGGCAAGAATGACATGACAAAAGGGCATCATTATGTAGAAACCTCATTCAAGAACTATAGAAATAATATAATTAATAAATGGGCAATTGGAACTCAACTGGAACTACAACCAAAAAGCCCTGAATCCCGTCATCAATTGCCACCCAATTAAGAAGATGAAGAGATTCGAGCAAAAAATTGGAGGAGCATTTCTTTGTGAAAAGAGAAGAAAAAGTCGATGTTTCTAGAGCTACCGTCAAACCTGGAGTGAGCAAACAGTGGACACATAAAATATCTTATATTTATCCATCTTACCAATTTAACCTTGCATATTGATGTAATTAAAATTATGCCATTGGTCGACCAGACTTGGCTTTTCTATATAATAGAAATTTTGCTTCCGATGTACTTTCTCTTTTTACAAAATAGCTTTCTTCGGATACAAGTCCAAGATATTTGAATTACTTATAACAAATCCACCTTACACCGTTTTATAAGTTAAAGATTCAAATTTCACCGAGAATTTTTCTTTTTTATTCCTTTCCATTTCTTCGATTGGTTGACTAAAGTAGAACGAACAATTTAGATGTTGTAATATATATTTAATAGCTTGTTTGGTCAAATTTTTAAAATTAGCTTATTTTTAAATGCTAAGTCAACAGTACTCTCTTTCCGTCCAAAGCACTTTCCAAAGTACATTAACCAAAGCATCTTTAAGTTCTAACGTATAATATTTGTTATTAGTCAAAAAGGTAACATATTACAAAGAAAATACGGTGTTACACAATTTGATAAGTATCCTATTACTACTTTCAGAGTCATTATCAACTCCTATATTTAAATTCAGAGATTGTACCTTTATCCAAATCAAATTACTCCTATATAAAATACAATAATCCTTCTTTTTCACCTCGTTAGTGTAACGACACGGCCGGTCGTTTCATGAGTTACCGCTCCGTTTCCCCCATTTCTGCTTCTCATTGCTTTGTCTTTCGGTTCTATATGTGATCGGGTTGGTTGGCTCGGGTTCGGAAAGGATTTGGTAAGGTTTGAGACACTTAGTCTCTTTTAAGGAAACTTAAGTTGGAAAAGTCAACCGGATGTTGACTTATGTGTTAAAGAGTTCGGATGTGAGTTCCGATGGTTCGGATAGCTTCGGGAGGTGATTTGGGACTTAGGAGCGTGATCGGAATGTGTTTTGGAGGTCCGGAGTAGATTTAGGCTTGAATTGGCGAAATTGAGTTTTTGGCATTTTTCGGTTGTTAGGTGAGATTTTGATATAGGGGTCGGAATGGAATTCCGAGAAATGCAGTAGTTCTGTTGTGTCATTTGGGATGTGTGTACGAAATTTCGGGTCATTCGGACGTGGTTTGGTTGGGTTTTCATCAAAAGCATAATTTAGAAGATTTTGGAATTCTTAGGCTTGAATCCGATGTGAATTTGGTGTTTTGATGTTGTTTTGAGCGTTCCGAAGGTTGGAACAAGTTTGAATGATGTTAGAGGATATGTTGGCATGTTTGGTTGAGGTCCCGGGGGCCTCGGGTGAGTTTCCGGTGGTCAATCGGACCATTTCGTGTTGTTGAGAATTGCAGAAAAACTGTTGAAGTGTTGTAGAGAATTAGACCTTCGCGTTCGCGAGTAGGTCCTCGCGTTCGCGAAGGGTTAGCTGGTGAAGGCTGAGATTTTAGCCTTCGCGTTCGCGAGGAAGGCTCCGCGTTCGCGAAGGGCTGGGTGACTAGGCATCGCGTTCGTGAGAAGGGGAGCGCGATCGAAGGGTCAAGCTGAGGAGCCATCGCGTTCGCGAGTGGCTGGTCGCGATCGCGAAGAGGAATTTTTGGTCAAAGTTGGTTTGTGCTTCGCGAACGCGAGGCGTTGACTGCGTTCGCGAAGAAGGCAATGAGGCTTGGGCAGAATGTTTAAATAGTCGTCTTGTTCGCGATTTTGGGGTTTATTTTCACCATTTTTGAGCGATTTTGGGAGCTTTGTGAAGAGGATTGAAGAGGGATTCAAAGGAAAACATTTGGAGGTAAGATTCACGGACTTAATACTCGATTCTAATGTGAATTTCACCTAATTAATCATGGAAATTAAGCCAAAAATTGAAGAACTAGGGCTTAATATTGGAGACCTAGAAATTGAGATTTGAGGGGCCATTTGTGGTCGGATTTTGGAACTTTTGATATGTATGAACTCGTGGGGAGATAAGGAATCCAATGATGTAAAATTTATCGAATTTCGAGACGTGGGCCCGGGGGTCGGGTTTTGGTAATTTCGGGATTTGCGTTTTTTTTCTATTGTTTTCGAGTGGGCTTTGTCCCTTTAGCATATTTTAATGGTTACGTTCTGGTTTTGCTTAGATTTGGAGCATCCGAAGGCCGATTCGAGGGGGCAAAGGCATCGCGAGCTAGAGTTTGGGCCGGATTGAGGTGAGTAATGATTTTAAATGTTGTCCTGAGGGTATGAAACCCCGGATTACACAGCGTTAGGCTATGTTGAAGTGACGCACACGCTAGGTGACGAGCGTGGGGTCGTGCACTGTTGGGGGATTGTGACTTGGTCCATCCTGAACGACCGTTTTACTGCGTATTTAACTGCAAATTATCTGATATTATTATATTTTGGGCTAAATGCCATATTTGGGCTTCGTGCCAACTGTTTGGACCCTTAGGGGATATTTACTGCTATTTTCCTCACTGTTTTGACTCTATACATGTCCTCAGTCATGTTATATTTTACTGATGTTCACAACTCAACCATGTTTACTCTGTTTTAACGTTTTAAATGATATTTCAAAAGATATTTTAAGCTGAGCATCATGTTTACAGTTGCCCGAGGGGCTTATGAGATTCTGACTGAGTAAGGCCGAGGGCCTGTATTGTGAGGATACTTTTGGGTCGGGCTGCACGCCGCAGCGGTGATATACTGATTATGATAATGAGGCCGAAGGCCTGAGATTGTACGCCACGAGGTGGCTTGTGATTGATATGAGGCCGAGAGCCTGTTGATGATGCCACGAGATGGCTTGACATTGGGCTTGGGCCGTAAGGGGCCCCTCCCGGAGTCTGTACACCCCCAGTGAGCGCGGGTACCCATTGTGATATGAAATATAGCCCGAGGGGCTGGTATTGTTCTGTGATATTTCCCGAGGGGCTGATTCTGTTGTTATTGTGCCCGAGGGGCGGTTCTTATGTGCTTACCCTTTTCTTGCTGCATTTCCTTTATTTGGTTAACTGCTTAAAAGGTGCTTTGTGGGATTTCACTGTTTAATTGCGTTTACTGATTTTATCCTGCCTCTTATAGCTTACTATTGTGTTTAGCGTGATTTTATATCGCTCAATCTTCATTTATTGTTATTACTCACTGAGTTGGAGTACTCACTTTACTCCCTGCACCCCTGTGTGTAGATTCGGGCGCTACAGGTCCTGCTAGCGAGGGTTGAGAGCTGTCCAGCAGATTTCCGGAGATTCACTAGGTAGCTGCCCGGCTATTCGCAGCCCAGTGCATTCTCCCTCTATCTTATTTCCTTTCTGTTTCAGTTTTGTAGTAGTGGAGTAGACTGTCAGACTTGCAGTATTACTTTAGATGCTCATGACTGGTGACACCCAAATGTCGGGCTGTGTTTTTATTTCGCAAACCGTATTGTTTACCTTATTTTGGGGATTTTATTATGTTAAAGACTTAATATTTATTATTTTAATTACTTGAAATAAATTAGAAGTGTGTCGGCTGGCCTTGTCTTCACGAGAGGTGCCATCACGACCGGGTCCGTGTTTAGGGTCGTGACAAGTTGGTATCAGAGCCTAGGTTACATAGGTTTCACGAGTCATGAGTAGGTTTAGTAGAGTCTCGCGGATCGGTACGGATACGTATGTATTTATCCGCGAGAGGCTGCAGAACCTTTAGGAAAATTCCATATTCCTAAAATACTTGTCGTGCGAACTTGTTGATCCGAGTACTAAACTTCTATTATTCTATTTCTCTCACAGATGGTGAGGACACGAGCAACCGGTCAGGATGGACGACCACCAGTACCACCAGCTGGAGCCACTAGAGGCCGAGGACGCGATCGAGGCCGTGGTAGGGGCAGGGGTGCAGCCCACACAGCAGCTGGGGCAGCACCTGCAGATCCACCAGTCGCCCCAGCTCAGGAGCAGGTCCCGGTTGTGGACACTCCAGCAGCACCAGCTCAGGCACCAGCTGTGCCCATTGTGATTCCGGGTCTTCAGGAGACTTTGGCCCAAATTTTGACAGTATGTACGAGTCTTGCTCAGGCGGTCGTGGTCTCTACTGCCGCAGCCACTTCCCAGGCAGGGGGAGGCTCTCAGATTCCCGCACGCCCGCACGCCCGACCAGGTAGTTCAGGGATTGCAGACACCGGAGGCACCACTAGCCCAGCCGGTGGCAGCTGCTCAGGGTTACATGGCTCCAGTTATGCCAGAGGACGAGCAGCGTATATTGGAGAGGTTTGGAAGACTCCAGCCTCCTACCTTCAGTGGTACAGAGGGCGAGGACGCCCAGGGTTTCTTAGACAGATGTCAGAGGATTCTTCGCACCACGGGTATTTTGGAGACCAGCGGGGTTGCATTCACGACCTTTCAGTTTACCGGAGCTGCCTTCACTGGGAGGCATATGAGAGGCGTAGGCCTGTTGGTTCGGCACCTCTTACTTGGCAGCAGTTCTCCGCTCTATTTTTGGAGAAGTATGTTCCACAGTCCCGTAGGGAGGAGCTGCGTAGGCAGTTCGAGCAGTTGAGACAGGGGGATATAACTGTTACTCAGTACGAGATGAGGTTCTCAGAGTTAGCTCGACATGCTATTTGGCTGGTTGCTACGGACAGAGAGAGGATCAGGAGGTTTGTTGATGGCCTCACATACCAGCTTCGGGTTCTCATGACTAGGGAGAGAGTGTCAGGTGCTACGTTTGAGAAGGTTGTGGATATCGCTTGTGAGATTGAGTCAGTTCATCGCGAGGAGCGCGAGGAGAGGGAGGCCAAGAGGCCTCGAGGTCATGGTAGTTTTGGGGGTGCTCCTTCAAGGGGCCAGTTTCAACACGGCAGAGGCCGTCAGTTCAGGCATGCTCAGTCAGCTCGCCCAGGTTATCGTGGGGCATCATC